CGATAATGAGTATGACCAAAATGAATATTTTTATAATGACAACCAATATCAAGATGAATACAGTTTGGAAAGTAATTCATTTTACGATGAAAACAATTATTATTTTCAAAATCAAAATCAATACGAAGAAGAACAATTCTATGAGGATTTTCACAATACCCTATCTTTAGACAACCCTCCTATAGAGAACCCATGTATACGAACTACCAACAGTCAATCAGACAATATCAATCCCCAATTACGACAAACCCAGTATACAGACAAGTTATTAATAGACCCATCATGTGTAGCACAGCCGATAACCAAGAAATTTGCGGCAGTCATCAAAACAAATATCAGTCCCCTTTGAACAATGAACAAAGAACAATTATTTGTATAAGCCCGATTCTAGCAACCTTTATTATATAAACAGTTTAAGTAACTTTAAAATACTAATTGATACCAGAGCAGGATTATCAATTTTCAAAATTATTCAAAACGATTTAAAGAAAATATTCAAATAACCGGTTGAGAGAGTTGAACATAAAGTTTATATACACGATTTAGATATCGATTTTGACGGAATTTTAGGATGCGATTTTTTGGAACATTTTGAAGGAGTAGTAGATATTAAAGACCAACAATTAAAATTAAATTATGGCACAATCCCGCTAAGAAAAGCAACAGAAATGATTGATGCCCAAAAACCGGAAGAGAAACAAAATCAAAATAAAGTCACTCTTAACCCTGAAACATCAACGGCTGAAATAAATGATATTTTTGAGTATGACCCTGATAATTACTTTTTCGAAAGTAAATATGACTATTACAAATACTTAGAAGATGAAATTCCCATCAATAACATAAAAATCGAACCAAGAGTAGAAAAAGTTTTCAAATTAAAATCGAAACTCAGAAATACAGAAGCTATACTGTTAGCTGCTGAAAAAGAAAAAGTCAGACTTCCAAATGCCCTCGTAAAAATAAATGGAAAAGGAGAATTTCTAGTAACAGTTGTAAACGGAAACACAATTGAAAAATCCATTGGCTTTCCAAACTTACAATTTGAAAAATTTAATGAAAATGAAATTCAAAATAATTTCAGTGAAATTTTTCCAAATCGTTCAACAGAAATAAAAAGGTTGCTTCGTTTAGAACATTTAAATGAAGAAGAAAAAGAACTAATTGAGAACCTTTGTTTAGAATTCTCAGACATATTTTATATAGAAGGAGATCCACTAACATTCACGAGTGAAATAAAACATTATGTAAAACTAAAAGAGAATGCACAACCAGTCTCAACAAAATCTTACAGGTACCCACACGTTCATAAAAATGAAGTGAAAACTCAAATTTCAAAACTACTAGAACAAAATATAATACGACCATCAGTCTCACCTTGGTCAGCCTCAGTTTGGATAGTACCTAAAAAACTTGACGCATCTGGAAAACAAAAATGGCGTATTGTAATTGATTACAGAAAATTAAATGAACTCACAGTAGATGATAAATATCCTCTACCTAATATCTCAGACCTTTTAGATCAGTTAGGAAAGTGTCAATACTTTAACCACACTTGACTTAGCATCAGGATTCCACCAAATTGAAATGGATCCTAAAAACATAGAAAAAACTGCATTTTCTGTAGAAAATAGCTTTTACGAATTCCTGAGGATGCCGTTTGGAATGAAAAACTCACCCTCCACCCTTCAACATATTTTAGACCATATATTAACCGGACTTAGAAACAAAAGATGTCTAGTCTATATGGACGACATAATAATTTATTCCCCAACAATTGACGAACACTTGCAAAATTTAAAACTAGTATTTAAACGCTTACGAAAAGTTAAATTTAAAAATACAACCCGATAAATGCGAATTTTTAAGACAAGAAATTGCATATCTAGGACACCTTATAACTAAAGATGGAGTAAAACCAAACCCAGAAAAAGTTAATTGTATAATAGACTTTCCAGAGCCTATAAATGCTATAGAGATAAAACAATTTTTAGGTTTAGCAAGCTATTACCGAAAATTTATCCCAAATTTTTCCAAAATATCTAAACCAATGACACACTTATTACAAAAAGATGTGAAAAAAGCATTAACGTCAACCCCAATTCTAATATACCCTAACTTTGACGAACCCTTTATTTTAACAACAGACGCATCTTCCTTTGCAATAGGAGCAGTATTATCTCAAGGAGCCATAAGAAAAGATTTACCTATCGCCTATGCATCCAGAACATTATGTCCAGCCAAGACAAAATACTCTACCATAGAAAGCGAATTACTAGCTATTGTATGGGTAATTAAACATTTTCGTCTGTACCTTTATGGAAGAAAATTCAATTTTATAGTAGACCATCGCCCTTTAACGTGGTTATTCTCAATTAAAGACCCTGGCAGACGATTAGCCAGATGGCGATTGAAATTAGAGGAATACCAATTCAATGTAATTTATAGACTCGGAAAAATACAAAAAAACGCAGACGCTTTGTCTAGAATTAAAATAAATTATTTCAAAGAATGCGCAAAATTTCATTCAAATATTTTCGCAATCGAAAATGGAAACCAAAATGGAAACGAAGAAATTTCATATACTGAAACTGAAATAGGTCAGGAAACAATTTTTGAAAAATTGAAAACCTTCACAATTCTAAATTTATTTTTACTAAAGACCAATTCTTAAACAAAAAAACATAAAGACATAATTGTTTTCTTCAAAGAAACAAACTTACAGAAATTTATGACAAAATACTCGAAGACATTTTTGAAGAATATCCCAATTTCTTCTATAATAAAATCTATGTTGTATCTAGCAAAACAGTGAAAGATCGAAAATATTATTTAATCCCATTACCTTTTGATCATGACGTAGCAATAGAATACTTGTTTAGCTCCCTATACAAAGATCAACATTTATTCGTATCAAACAAAGTATGCCAACTCGAAACAAATGTAGGATTCCCAATACAAGAAATGTTATCCTATATTTTAGCCGACAAAGATGACATAAAATTCCAACTATGTCAAAATATTGTAACGACCCCTGACAAAGACCAGATTTCAATCATATTAGATTAATTCCATAACGGTAAAAATAATTTAAACTGTGGAATAAATGAAACTTTACGAAGAATAAAGCAAAAATACAACTGGAATGGTATAATAAAAGATGTTGAAAATTTTATTGAAGCATGTGAGGAAAAACTGCAGGAAAAACTTAGAAAATCCGTTAGTAATCACGGAAACTCCCAAAACAGCTTTTGAAAGAATAAACATTGACATTTTAGAAATTCCAAAGAATTATCTTCTTACAATTAGAGATGAACTTACAGGAAAAGAATTTAATAATTACTTATTAAAAGACTTATGTTTACTCTATAATATCAAACTAACATTTTCTAGTGTTGACCACCCACAATCAAATGGTTCACTTGAAAGATTCCATGCCACCCTAATGGAAATGATAAGAGTAAATTTGACAGAAACCCCCAAAGACCACCCATTTTCTATTATACCCTATGCTGTTATATGCTATAACAACAGTCTTAACAAAACCCACGGATTTAGTCCTTATGAATTAATATTTTACACACATCCGGCAGACCCCAGAAACTTTATATAATCAAAAACACCTTATGACGAAGTATGTCAGAGATCTTAATAATCGTATGGAATATTATTATAAAGTAGCACGCACAAACACTGAACGAAAGAAAGAAAAAGATAAAATAAGATTTGATAGTAACTTACACCACGAACCAAAAACTTATAATATAGGTGATAAAGTATATGTAAAAGAGTCCCAAATCAAAAATAAGCTAGAAAATAAATTCAACGGACCTTTTGAAGTAAAAGAAATTTTCAAAAACTCAGCGTTACTGAGAAATCCTGAAACTAACCAAACAACAAAAGTTAATTTCGATAGACTGAAACCCAGTTTTGTTTCAGATCAAGAATGATTCTTCTACTGGTAATTATTGTCCCAATAATCAACGCCCAGTATATGCTAGTACCTGTGAACAGCACGATAGGTATTTATTATCATGAAACAGGAAGCATGAAAATATTAAATGAAAAATGGACTTTATTAGTTGTAAAAGACATGGCACCTGTAAAAGAAACCATTGATCATAATCGAAATATTTTAAGTAATCTTATTCACCTAATTGAAACAAACAATTTCGGAATGAAAACTTTCAGTTCAGAGATAAGCACACATATTAGTCTTTTGAATAAGTAGCTGATTCAGTAGAATTAAAATATCAAGAAACGCAAATAGATGCCAATGATTACAATAAGTGACACAAAAGAGGTCTTTTAAATGGAATAGGTTATGTATGGAAAGCTATAACCGGCAACCTTGATGCCAGTGACGGCGAACATTTTAATGAATGTATTAACAAGATTTATAAAGACAAACATCAAATTGAAAATTTATTAAAAAACCAAATTTCAGTCACAACCTCTGTAATTAAAGAATTTAATACTACAATACGACAATTACAGGTTGATGAAAAAGCATTTAATGAAGATATAATTCAAATTGAAGTATGGATATATATTCTATCCGATAAAGTATCTTTAATAAACGCAAAGTTGAAAGTCATCCAAATTTGCGAACAACTTTTAGAAAGTTATGCATTTCTAGAAGACTATCTAAATGATAGTCTTATTCATACATCAATTATAAAGCCAGATGATTTAGTTTCGTCCCTTCAGGAAATTGCTCAAACAATATAAAGGAACAATTTACCTTTACCAACAAGACTTTCTTCAATATCAAAATATCTAGACATAATTGAATTACAAGCTTTTCAAGTAGATTCAAGACTTGTCTTCATTTTGAAAATACCATTAGTAGAACCTGAATTATATACTGTTTATAGATTGTACCCATTCCAATTTTGGACAATCGAACAGGGTTACATCACATTTTACCGAATTACTATGAATTAGCTTTTGCTGAATAGTTTACTGTCATAAATTTCATCATCGTTGGTGATACTTACAAGTCTGGAGTTTAACACGCTTGCTAAATCCGGAGCCTGGTACACAACTCCAGCAATGATATAATAATCTGCAAGAGGGGTCACTTGTTGAGGACTATGCCTATGCTGCTTCCGAATGACGTACAAAATTGGTTCTTGAACGTGCAACAAAATGTACTCTAGACCAGTCATATTCCTGCAAAAGACACACACACCTAAAAAAATCAATAAAGATAATGATCGTTATCTTACTTACTGTAACTGCTCTGGATTGAGCCGCTGCATTTTAACAATTTCGTTGTTGCAAGTTCTATCAAAGAATGGGTTTGACCCCTGTGAAAAGTAGTCCAAAACGTTTGCTGTGTTCAAGATAGGAATCCAAGCCGAATCGTGCCATGAAAGACTAAGGGGGTTGTCTGGAATGCCAGGAGCCGACATAGCTAATCTTCCGGCCATCATTTTAAGGGGATTTCTAAAAAGTATTTTTACTTTTTGTAGGTTATGTTTATCATCTGAGATGAATGCATGACAAGATTTGGAAGAGTGAAGTGATTATAAATAATAACTATATTGATCTCAAAATGTGAGTCCCTTTTTTTCTACCTACTTACATTGAATTAGCAAAAAGGAAAATATGGAATAAGGTTTTCGTAAAGTTTTGTATAATACTCTTACTACAGATGAAATTATGAATTACGAAAACGGATTTTTGGTTCCATCAAAAATAACTTTCATAAATGTTTTCAAACATTATCAAACTATAATGTGGAAGGTTTCTTTACTAATTTTCTTAACTACTGATTAATAATACTAACCTAAAATTTAAACGAAAAACTCTAAAGTAGGTGTGAATACACCAACATAACCTATAACGGATAATACGTCTCAGATTAACAAAAGACAATAGAGACGCTTTTTCATTCCTTATATTGAAGGCAGCATAACTTTGTTTGTTTACGGGAAGTAAGTTGGACCATAAAACAGTGGCGGTCGGTTTAGTTGATAACCGAAGGGATATTATATATTTATAAAATAAATCATTTCAGGTGAAAATGTATTCTGTTCAAATAGTTCCTACAGGAAATCTGATTCATTATTAATGATTATGGAAATGGGGCCAGTTTTTCTACCACCTACTAGATTTTTATTTATGTATGACTTTATAATAAAGCGCGTGGTTTGATGGGTTAAAATAAAATTATTTCAAATGAACTAATTCATAACAATGATAAATGTTAATCTCAAAAATAATGAACTTTGCTTCATAAAATCAGATGAAGAAATTTGTGATTTATTTTCAGATTTGATAAACAAGCGGTACGGTTTGTGAGGTCCGATATAAAGAATTTAAGATTAGAAATCATAAATATTTATAATTACGATTGAGGTTTGATATTATTCTGTGATTTCATTCAAAATTGGTATATAGGGTTCTTTGTAGACCGACATTATGAAAGGGGATATTTTTGATGTTTGTAATGATCGTTTTTTTTGATCTTTTTCTTATAAATGAAGTTTTTGAAACTAGGTTTACATTATTTCATTATTTGACCTATCCCTACCAAAAAGAGGTAAAAAAAAATGACAACCGTCATTTCTTATCGAATATTGTCTGTATGCAACTCGAAAGTCTCTTGTGTGACGTAAGTTAGTTGTTGAGTGAGAAATAACAGATATAACACTGGTTGCACAAGAATAACTATTTAGTATACAAACTGAACATTGAGCAGAAACCTTTTCAATCTGTTGATCACAGAATGGATATCACCTATGGCACACATATGAAGAACATATTTTTCATTTTTGAATTATTAACTCCGATTATTAACTAAACCAACCGCCACTGTCTTATGGTCCAACTTACTTCAAATGTAAACAAACTCTCCATAACCTCTCATTACCCGCCACCCCCCTCGCCAATAAGTTGTATAGTTGTACCTGTTTCAAAACACATGTATTGTATTGGTATAGGCACCGTGCAGGCATGGCAACTCTATGTCTTATTATTACTCTGAGGAATACGTGAATATTGAATGCCACAGAAAGTGGCTAATATTCCGCAGTACGGAATTATTATAAAAGTAATATGTGATGGTATCAGTCAATACTTAAAAATCCATTGCGTATTTAAGAAACTTTATTGTGAGATTTTTCACTACAGTTTTACAAAAACGCCTGTTCGAAAATATCACAGTGAAGTGTTTCTTCATTGTTTAACATTATAAGGAAAAACACACAATTCATTCATACATTTCGATGTTATGTCACGAAATAAGTATATCATCGATAACATCGTAAAGACATTCATTCATGCGTTTGATTGTATTTGAATTGAAGGGATATTATTTTTAGGAGTGACTAATTTCTTGGGAAAGAGAGCTTTTTGCTTTTTACTACTAGATTTTGATACAAAACAATGTGGGAATCTTCCAAAAAAAGGAAGGAAACAATCAATTTTTTAAGAAGTAACTTTATACATAGATGTGTAGATCATGCAAAGAAGTAACTTTCAGACACAAACTGGAAGAAAAAGCCCTTCTGTGTTATTCAATGTTTATATGAAAGTAGCTGTTTCAGGAGGGTGTTTTCCAGTTTGTGTCTGAAAGTTACTTCTTTGCATGATCTACACATCTATGTATAGAATTACTTCTATTAAAATTGATTGCTTAATTCCTTTCTTTGAAAGATTACCACATTTTTTGTATCAAGATGGAGTAGTAGGAAGCCAGAAACTGGAATTCGAGAATTATCTTTAATCATTATGTACAATTTCATAAAAAAAAAGTTGTTACAATTTCATTCAATTAAAAATGTATTTATTAAATTCTAATTACATTCTTGTCATAGAAAAACTCATAATATAAATATAGATGTAAATCGTTCTATTGAATTCAGATACTTCATTCTGATTACGTTATTAATTATAATATTTTTGAAAACGTTAATCTTGTTATTTATAAATAACTTTTCTTGAGTTTTATTCATTTATCTATTAGTTTTTGTCTCTTTGATGGCATTTCTTCATCGTTAGATTCGACAAACCTTTCCAATTCTAGTTGATTTTCGAAATCTGTGTATCTGTCAAACAGGTTGATCATATTCAAGAGGAAGATCAAACTGTTCGAAAAAAAATCTGTTTAAAATCTGTTTTTCCGTTAATCAGCTGTTGCCCCCATACGAACAACAACTCTCAGATGTTGAGAAACTTATGCGAGCTAAAGACTAACGAGGTCTTACCTTTTAACGTGTGTTTCCTAACACGGTTGTAGAATCATCCCAGCTTCAACCACATAAATTCCCTGGAGAAAAATATCTTGTCGAGGCGGGAATCGAACCCACGGCCTTCCGATCGTGAGTCGGGCGCACTACCACCGCGGCCAATTCCACAACAAATCTTCAAGACCATCACTTTCTTCGTCTCCAATATTATTTCCAGTCTGTATTGGTTCTTCATATCATCATCATATCATCAAATCATCAAAACCCGATATTCATTCTCGAAACAGTGACTTGAAATATCTCAATATTTCAATTCACTCAAAGCTTCCTCTAGAATTTCCAAACTTTGTGGGAAATTCAACTGAACTAACCAATTCTCCGCGCACGACTGACTTAATTCTTTTTTGTATTTTCAAACTTCATTCAGTTAGGGGATGAAGTTCAAATTCCCACAGGAAATTCTCACCTAATTAAAATGACTAAAATCGTATCCAATATTGGTACTCTTATCGCCATCTCATGGTCAGGCGAATAAGTCCGCAAGAATTACCCACGGGTCCCCTATATTTCTAATGTCGTGAGCCTGCTATTGCTATCTAGAGGTTCTTACAGGTTTCCTTCTTCTACGAAAACACGTGTTTTGGTATTTAATATTTGACAAAAAATAATATACCTAACTTATACTTTATTACTGTTGGAGTGCAGTTTTTCTGTTGTTCTATGATATGATTCGAGATGTATGTTGTTGTTAAGTTTATAGTGAAAAATGTAATATGGTAGAAGAACTATACCTGAATAAATATCTTCAAAATATAAAGTAATCATTATTACAAGAAGGAATAGTGGAATGTTAAAACTCTGCATTTAACAATTACAGTGTTATACTTATCTATGGAATTCGTAAATTTTAACGCGTATCAGTTGAAGGAAAACATAAACAACTATGTACATCATATGTATAACATATTCTAAAATATATTCACGTCGGGTACACCTCCCTATTTACACAAGAAACTGAAATTCAGTGACGTACACAATCTGAACATTCGTCAACGAAAAATTCTTACAATTCCAAAACATTCCGAAGAAATATATTGCCGTCTTTCTGCTACAATGTCGCATCATTCTATCTATAAACTTGATAGTCCATTTTTGAATTTGCCCAGAAAAGCATTCAGCCATGAATTTAAAGAGTATTTGCTGAGCATTCAGTAAATCTAACATTGCACGTAACTGTTTCCTTGACCAAATTTGAAATCAAATCAAAATATGCTTCATTACCCAAGATCTGAACATCTTATTGGCAAAGTCTAGTAAATTAAAATGTGTAGATGGAACATTCAATTAACAGATATAAGCTATAAAAAATGCTTACGAGACAGGAGCAGAGTATATGGACAGAACAATATTAAGCCCAGCTGAACAGATACAAATATAAATACATGAATATATTAATATTGAGTAAATGTAATTAACTTGTTTACACAAAGCTACATGACAATTACTCGATAGAGCCTTGGTAGAATTCGTCCACAGTATAAAGGTTCGTTCCAACCAGCGTCAGAAACAGTTTCTGACAGTCAGGATTCTGCGCAGTAATGTGATTGTGTTCCAACGTGAGTTTCCAACCATTAGTAAACTATCAGTTTTCTGTTCCATCCAAGATTCAAACTTGTTCGAAATCTATCAGAATGGTTTGAGGATTATCTTCTAACCATCAATCTGACGCATGCGTATTCCGTATTACTAATTCTGTTTTATGTTCATGCAACTTACAAACAACATAAGCTTCAAAAATTGTAATAAAATAAATTATGTATTTGCTGGCGCAGGAAAAATTGGGAATTCTTTAAGTGAACCTATAATATGAACATCTTCAATTACACAAATTAATTATTGCGGTGACCTCCCAGTTCCATGTTGATAAGTAAATAGAATAGAGATATAAAATACTGCAACATTTCTTTCCCAAATTATTTTTAAAGGTTATGTTGAAATTCCATGCCAAACTTCAGTTGAACTATCAGCTGTTCCAATCAGAAATTTCAAATTAATCAGAAACCAATATTTACCAGACATGCGCGTTGACAAGGATTTACAAACAGTTGGAAATCTGTTTGTGACTCAAGGTTGGAACGAACCTATAATAAGGCCTCCCAACAAGGAATTCTTTTACTTTCTTTCTGAATTTCTTTTCATTATATATTCGCCTTAAATCAATGGGAAGGTGATCAAATATCTACTTGCTATTGAAAATAATAGAATGTTGTGTAAGGACTAGAGTAGGTGTTGGAAGGGAAGTGAAGTAAGACTGACGTGTACTATAAGTTGAGGAGGTATTAAATTGAATTTTATATTTTTTGTGGATAAGACATACTGTTTCCAAAATAAAAGGACATACCAAGGTCAGAATTTTTTGCTTCACAAATAATGGGCGGCATGAATTCCTGTAGCTAGCCTTGCATAAATATGTGATGTATCTTTTTTGTAGAGAGAATACCATATTGAAACGAAATTGTGCAAAATTTCCCCAGAAATAAATTCCACAACACCCTATATAAATTTTTCTATTCATGTTCATACTCATCTGATCTTTCTGAAGCCATCTTCTTCTCCTTCTCCTCCTCCTGATGATGCCGAATTGGTTAACGAAGATACGGCTCAGTGATCCTCCTAGACAGATGAGAGGCGGACAGTTCATTATCTCCTGATGACGCCAACTTGGTTAGCAACACAATATAAATGACAAATCATAGCACCCGCTTCAAATAAGCCACACTGTATACGTTCCTCATCATCGTTTTTTTAATGATGTATTTTGCCATACCTTGTACACATTGAGGTCATGTTTTTTCCTTGATAATGTAGTTTTCATTTATCACTCTGAATAACCGATGACAGCCGACAAAACAACCATCATCACTATCACTACTTCGCATTCATTTCCAACATCTTACATTGGTGTCGAGGCTAAGGACAACGTCTACCACGCCGACGACCTGGGTTCAATTCTCTAACCGGTAAATTATTACATTTTAATTAACCTCAGCTGCCGATGATCACTAGGCCAGGTGACTGGTGCGCGACAGGAGGGGCTCAGGGGTGAACCCTAAGAAGGCCCGAGGCGGAATCCCAAAGGGGGCCACGCTCTTTGAATCCCTCCGATAATCATTCCATCTGTCTCTGCATTGATTACGTCCTACGTTTCTCTCTCCCACTCTCTCTCCTACCTCGAGTTGGGTGTTCCACAAGGTTCCGATACAAGGTTCCGATAGGAGTTCGCAAATCACAAAAAAGAAGCGCCATAAGAAAAAGCAAGATATTTTGGGCTTGGAGTCGCTTTGTTCATCTACTGATTTGAATTTCCCGCTGTACGCTGGATAGCTTCTGATTGGTCGACTGGGGTGGGGAGTGGAAGAGTGGGGATGGACTGTAGGCGGCTTTTCCTACTTGCGAGGCTCTTACTGTTTTCTAGTCAAAGTTTGCCCCACCATCACTTTGGAGTAGCCATTCCTTTGAAGATCTTTTTTGATAATGCCTAGTTCCATCTCGATACCTTCCTTCGTATTACAAAACCCGAAAGCACGATCTACTAGGGTCTTCCTTCTTCATTGTGAAGATAATGAAACGTCTTACGCTGTTGATGCACTTCAGAAAAGTCGAATCATCTGAAGAACAATTCGTTCAGGCCAGTCTCAACCCCCTACACTGTTGGTTAATGGACTGACACCTATCAGAAAATAACTACTCTCCTGGCTAATACCACGAAGGGCGTTGGATTATATCCACCTTAAATTAATGGGGAGGTAATCAAATAACTTCTTACTATTGAAAATAACAGAATTTTCTGTAAGGGCTAGAGTAGGTGTTGGAAGGGAAATGAAGTAAGACTGGCGTGTACTATAAGTTGAGGTGGTATTAAATTGATTATTTATAGTTTTTGTGGATAAGACACACTGTTTCCAAAATAAAAAGACATACTAAGGTCAGAATCCCTAGCCTTGCATAAATATCTGTTGGATCTTTTTTTTAAAGAAAATACCATGTTGAAAGGAAACTGTTCACAATTTTCCCAGAAACAAATTCCATAACGTAAATGGGACTCAATTTGTGCAAAATACACTGATCTTGTAATAGTACTATCTAACTCTCTTGCAACAACTCTCACTGCATGACATCCTGTTACTAGTTTTTTACATAAATAGTCGACATGGGAATCAAATTTTAGATTTTCATCAATGAAGAGCCCTAAAAATGTGTTTTCTCCAAATTTTTAATTTTTATATTTTCCGAGTATTACCCCTATGTTACATCTAAACGTGACCACATTTGTTTTGTCGATGTTGAATGATAAAAGATTGGAATCATAACACTCTTTCACCTTTCTTATGTCGACGATGATTTGATCAAGTAAATTTGAGGCGGTATTGCTATGCCAGAGGATAGTGGTGTCATCAGCGAAACATGTGAATTTACCACTTATGTCCACATGGACTAAGTCATTGACATAAATGAGAAACGACACCGGTCCCAGAACGGAACCTTGTGGGACCCTACTGCCAATGAAACGTTCCTCTGATGAAATTTTATCTAACAGAACATTCTGCCGCCGATGAGAAAGGTACGTCTCGAACCAAATTAATGCAGATCCTCTAAATCCGTAAACTTCTAGCTTGCGAAGAAGTGGCATGTGGTCTACACAATCGAAGGCCTGGGTTAGGTCACTAAACATGGCCGCCGCTGATTCTCTTTCATTAAGATTGGTGTACAGGTTTTCCAGGAGCGAAAATATTGCGTCTTGTATTCCTTTTGAAAACTGAAAGCCAAACTGGAATAAATTTATTATATTGTTTTACCAGTTTTTCTATAACTTTAGAGAAGGGTAGCAAAGCAATTGGCTTAACATTTCTCCTCTAATCTTTTGACTATTTTCTACTATTCTTTCATTATATTTTTTCCTATTTCGAATAAAATCTGTTGGAATGTATTCACCTAGATTATTATCCACAACTTTCTTGGAACCGGTGGAAGAAGAGAAACATTGCTCAACTATTACCTGAACCGGATTGCCATTTATTTTTCATGAACATTCTATTGTCTCATTGGTCTCATGTATTATTACTTTATATTATATCCTCAGTTACAGCATTTGTGATTTGTAGAATTGGTAAATAATAAAAGCATTATTATCATTATTCAGATCACGAATGCCTTACTTAATAGGTAGATTTGGAACCTCTGACGTGAAATAAATCTATTTAAAACACTTTCTCCACACCTGAACAAAATTACTGCCTCTCGACGCGAATTTGCCAACCAAGTTAGTATCATCAGAAGATGACTGAAACTGTTCAGTCATCCCCATTCCATGGTTAAAAAATCCAACCCAACGCAAGTGGGCCTGTTAGTTGACATTTATTCTATTTTTTTAAATGGCATATATACCCAAATGAAAATTATTTATGAACCTAATATCTCGTGGTAATGAAAGAAGTTTATTTCCTACGTACAAGACGTAATAGAAATGCTCTATCGACGTTTGAACGAACTTTCACAATCGATAGAGCGTTTTATCGTCGAGTATATATTTTTTTCTATAGCACACGTCTTGTACGAAAATTTGAGAAAAATAATTCATAAACACATGCTATGTAAAAAAGATGTTTATAGTTTTTGGAAAAAATGACGTCATCCTTCACATCCTTTCATTTGATATATCCCAAACCCGAATTTGTCTTGTTCATGAGTTTCACCCTCTTAATACGTACCTGTTTGCAACCCTCTTTCATTTCAGATGGCCCTTTCAGTACTGCCACTCCACAAACATCAGGAATATCTAAACGATTGCTGCGACCTCATAAATGACGAATGGAAACGATCCAAAACTGCCCGGTTACACAGCCTGCAGAACTCTTGCGATAACTTTCCTACATCATTAATTCTTCTTGAAGAAAAAAAACTCGTGGGTCATTTGAAACTGTCCGTCATCCCCAGTAAGAAAAACGCATGCTTCGTGGAGTCCGTGGTGATAAAGAGGAGCCATAGAGGAAAAGGATACGGAACCGTTTTGATGAAAGAAGCCGAAGCGTACTGTAAACTCACATTGGGGCTTGACACAGTTTATTTATCGACGAGAGGGCAAGAAGAGTTTTACGTTAAGTTAGGATACATTGAGTGTATGCCAGTGTCTATATACGGGAATTATGTATTTTCAAATGCAGCACCACTGCCGGTATCTGATAACAACAGTATTATCAAAACGTGCGTTACAGGAAACATACCCTTGCCACCCCCTCTGCCCATATTCAAAAATGTGAAGGAGAAGATCTTCATGAAAAAAGCATTATGATGACTTTCAGGGACAAAAATTTCGACTCAAACTATTGGTTTTATGGAACTTATTAATAAGAATTGAATCAACTGAAAGTTGATTCAAGGCTCAATTATTAAGAACGGACAAGATCATACTTTATATGTAAATACAATAGAATAAAACCTTTCACACTTATTATCATTTCACTTATTTAATTGACGACTGAACCCGAGAATACCTACCACAGAGAAGTGACATTAACGTCGGATCCTTTGATGTTCGGTGTCCCAACTCCGAACCGAAGATTATGAGTGATAGACAACCTGGTTCACTGAGAAAAATGACCTCTCAGCGATATACACTAATAAAAATACATACTCTTACGTTCTAGTATAGTACGTGGGCTCACTGTGAAATATAAAATTATAATGTGAAGGGCATCTTACTCCATTCAATTTTTATATTGCTAATTGAACAACTTTCGCAGTAATAATAGAGAATATTCAACTATGTGGCCAATTTATTATCATTTATGATGAATTGGCTTTTAAGAAATAAATTAAATTACTTTATTTTGTAAATCCAATTCATTAGATAGAAAATTAAAATAAAGTTACGATAATAGAATAATGCTTATATTATATAATCATTTTATATCCTCTGAAATAAATAAGTCCTCTAAGGATGAAATGAATAGGAGTGACTTTTGATATTTTATGTAATCTTAACTTAAACTTTCATTAACAATATCAATACAATCTGAGGATTCTAATTAAGTAAGGTTCCAAATGAAAAAATAATGAAACAAGATATTTTACCAAAACCTCTTAATTTAAAAATGTGACAGAATCTTAAGTTTCCTTTTTACAGTTTTACCTTTGGTATTATTGATAGCTCTATTAGTATATTTGATACTATAAAAAATTTTCATTCTTATGAATAGCTTAATTATGTATATTTTTGGAAAATTTTCACAAGGATGAAGAAAATATACATATACGAGAGGTGTTCAAATGAAAAATCTGTTTAAAAAATCTGTTTTTCCGTTGATGAGCTGTCGCCCCTATACGAACAACTCTTAGAAGTTGAGAAACTTGTGCGAGCTAAGAACTAACGTGGTCTTACCTTTTAACGTGTGATTCCTAACACGGCATATTTGATTTTACCAAGAGCGGTACATATCAAAAATACGCGACGAACTGTGGCTGCTTATCGTTTTGAGGTCCAACTCAGTACACCTCGGGCTTCACTGTTTAAAAACTATTTCATTTGGAGAACTGCGTTTATGTGGAATAATCTTTTCGAGAACGTTTTTCTAGATGAACATAATCTCCATCGATTCAAATCCAATGTAAACCGCCAATTTCGCATAGATGCCGCTTTTAGAGAGCGTTGAGGATTTTCCTATAAGACTTGTGTTTTGTCTTTATAAAAACTGAAAAAAATGGGATATTCTCAGCAACAATGCATAAGTCGGTAGATATTAAATTGAAGACCATTATTAGGTAGGTAGGTAGGTCTGAAGTGAGTGGGTCTATTCGATCCTCTACCGCAACCCATAAGGGTTTATTGTGGCTTACACCTATTCAAATTCGGCCAAATAAACCCAGCTTCTTAACGAAGCCGATTAGTTTGTATGGTGAGTGGTCTTTCAGGTCAGATGGTGAGAGTACGGATCTACCGGACTCAAAGAACCTGATTCGGTCCCCAGCGGGGCAGGCACAAAGTATATGCTCTGCAGTTTCATCATTTTCCAGACAGAAGCGACACACACTGTCTTCCGACAGTCCAAGTCTCTGCATGTGATGATTTAAATGACAGTGACCTGTAAGAAGGCCTGTTAGACATCGTAGTTCATCCCTACTGTAGTCCAACAACTGTTTGGAATCAAGCTTCGAAGGGTGAATAAACGCCTTGGAGTGAGCCAATCCTGGAAGTTCTGCCAAAAGTCCATAACTCTTCTTGCCATCCAGGTCTTAAGTTTTTATTTGGGAAAGCCCAAAGCGATGTCAATGACAGATTCTGGTCCAATGAAGCCGCTTGCAGCACCCTCCTTCGCAAGAGAGTCGGCAGCTTCATTGCCTTCCAGGCCAGTATGGCCAGGAATCCAGACTAGAGACAATCTGTTTAGTCTTCCTATCGAGGAGAGTCTTTTATGGCAGTTTGCTACCAATTTGGACGTTGCTCTGTTGGAGCCAAGAGCTTCCAATGCCGCTTGACTGTCCGATAATATTTTTGTTGACTTGTGAGTGAGGTTGGATTTATCCAATTTCTCCGCACACAATTCAATAGCGTAAATTTCCGTTTAAAATACAGTCGTATAAGTTCCTAGGCAGGTAGATAACAATGTCCTGGATCTGCGACTGAAAACACCTGCACCAGAACCGGAAGGTGTTTTTGATACATCTGTGAACCAACAACTATCTGCTCTTAATATTTCCTTCTCCCGCAGGATCCAGTCCTCTCTACTTGGGAATAGGCAGTTCATAGTTGGCAGTTCGTAGTTGACAGTTGGAGGCATAAAGTCAGAGGTCATTTCCAGAATGCTATGACTTCCAATGTCAACCAACAGTCTGTTGCACTCTGCATTGAATTGATTTCTGCAATTGGCTGTAGGCAGTCCATCTAGCCTCTCTTTCCAGAAACAGAAGGATCTCCATGGCCGCTGACGGTGTGGTACTGATAGCACCACTGATAGCGAGACAAGCCTATCTCTGTAAGCCAGAGAGCTTCGCTTGGGCCATTTTCTGTAAAGCCTTCGGCCACCAAGCAATTGCACCAGACGTGATCATTGGTCTGACAATCATCACATAAATCCAATGGATTTGTTTGGGACCTAAACCCAAGTTTTACCACAAATCCTTCGGCATGTCCGTAGAGACAGTCTGGCTTTGTGTAAAACTTTTTCCAAGTGAGCGTTCCAGGTGACTCTTTCATCAAGGACAATGCCAAGATATTTCACCTCCGTTCCAAATGGAATGAACACACCATTGAGGGAAAGTGGCATTAGATCGTCCAATTTCCTTCTCTTGGTGAAGGGGATCAACACAGTTTTGCTGGGGTTCACGGACATCTGCTCCCTCAGGCACCAACTGTGAACAACGTACAACGCGCTTTGGAGGATATTACAAGCTACCCTTCTCGACGTGGACCTTGCCAGGATGACAAGGTCATCTGCATAAGCTTGCAGATCAACTTTTCTTCTGTCGAGGGCATCAAGCAGACTATCCACCAGTAGCGACCACAGAAGGGGAGATAGTACCCCACCTTGAGGGCAGCCCCTGGTGACCCTGAACCTGATAGCCTCGCCTTGAAGAGTCTTAGTTGCAGTTCTGTTTACTAGCATGGCATAGATCCAGCCAACTATTGTGGATTCTATACCCTTTCTAGCCAGAGACAATCCTATAGATTTAAGGTAGTGCATTGTCAAATGCTCCTTAAATATCAAGAAGTACAGCAACTACGGTTGCTGTACTTCTTGATATTTAAGGGATTGTCAAGGGATTGGGAGATTTTCTCAACGAGGTTGTTTAATGCTGAATCTGTCGATTTGCCGGTTTGATAAGCATACTGGTGGTTATTCAGTGGGGATGCATATATTGCTACCCTCCTGATATGTCCGTACAGTATCCTCTCAAGTCCTTTCAGCAGGAAGGATGTAAGGCTGATTGGTCGTACCGATTTGGGGTGTGGGTCTCTCCTGCCCACTTTAGGTAAATATACCACCCTAGCTGCCAACCAACTGGGTGGTACATAGTTCCACGCCAAATTAGCTCTATACAATTTTGTGAGAATAGGTAAAATTATTTCCAGTCCGTTTTAAAGAAGAGTTGGAAATGTACCATCTTCAGCCCATAGGGCAAACGAACGATGGGGCGGTCGAGCGAACAAACGAATTAGCCATTCTGTGTATATCATCAACCAGAATTTCCTCAATCTTAGACGCTTTATCATGAAACACAGCTTCATGACACGTAGTACTCTAAAACATGCCTATCACTGTCATATACCTACTTCACACGTGATGATTCCTCGAGTTATCCATGATATTTTCACAAATACCGTTAACTAGCAACGAAAATAATGAACTTGTGTGTGGTTTTTCCCATAACTGACAACAAAATGAATATTGACAAATATTCTGATACGAAAAAACTATCATTCGAAATTTTGAATACTGAATTTGTATGGTGATTTCAAGAAAATTTAATCGAGTGATAGTCACTCGATTATACGAATTATACGATAACCTATTGATAAACTACAAAACTATCAATATTTCATTCTTCAAGCCGTCGAATGATCAATACGATTTCACTATAGATAAAATGTTTGTTATTAAATGATTTGAAGATAGAAGAGAATATCATACTATGGTGTTAACGGAAAACATCGTTTTGTTTTTCTATCAAAAAATGGATAATATTTTCACCCTTCCAGAAAAATAGATGCAAATGAATTTGACATATTATTATATCATTAAGACTTTTTTCTTTCAATTACACCTTGAATGTCTGCGTGTTTCAATCGCGCGTCGAGGGATCATAAATAATAAACAGGCGGACAGTTTGTCATCTCCTGATGACGAGAACTTAGTTAGCAAAACACCATAAATAACAAATTATAGTACAAGCTCCTCGTCACCGCATATTTTTTTTCTTTCTCAAACAATACCCTATATAAATTTTTCTATTCATGTTCATACTCATCTGATCTTCTTGGTGCCATCTTCTTCTCCTTCTCCTCCTCTTGATAATGCCAAGTTGGTTAACGAAGATACGGCTTAGTGTCTTCGGACATGTTGGCTCGCACGTTCAAACGTTAAATCCTCCTAAACAAATGAGAGGCGGATAGTTCGTCATCTCCAGATGACGCCAACTTGGTAAGCGAAACAATATAAATGACAAATCATAGCACACGCTTCAAATAGGCCACACTGTAAACGTTCGTCATCATCGTTTTTTCTAATAATGTATTTTGCCACACCTTGTACACATTGAGGTCATGCTTTTTTCATTAATAATGTAGTTTTTATTTGTCACTCTGAATAACCGATGACAGCCGACAAAACAATCGCTATCATTATCGCTACTTCACATTCATTTCCAACATCTTATATTGGTGTCGAGGCTAAGGACAACGTCTACCACGCCGACGACCTGGGTTCAATTTTCTGACCGGTAAATTATTTTATTT